CATAATACTGAAATAATATATTATTGTTTCTTTTAATAGACTATGGAGTCATCTTTCAAAGAGATTTTGCTTCCTTAGTTTGACATCTTTGGGTATGTTTCATCTTTAATAAACTAAATTTCTTAAATACTATCATAAGATTAGTTCATATATAATGATTCTACTGTTACAGGTTGAAGGCTCTTGTAAAGTTCCAAAGAAATGAAGACTTTTTGGTGTGTTTTCAAGTGAATCAAGTCAAGAAATTAGTAGTTTAGTTTTTGGTTATTATGTTTTGTTTAAGGATGCATTGTGTAATGTCCTAAAGGATGCATTGTGTAATGTCCTGTGTAATGTGTTTTATTTAAGGATGCAATGTGTTTTTGGCAATTATGTTTTGTTCAAGGATGCACCATTTAATGCATTGTGTAATGCACAGGTTTTTTTTTATTACTAGTTGTATATAATATATATATTTTTTTTTTGGGTTTGATTTTTTGTGAAAAAAAAGTGTGATTGAAAAATTTATTGAATTAGTGACAGAACAGTGTACATCACTCTCCATATATGAATTGGAATTTTATTTTTTGAGTTATAGATGGGAATTGGAATTTCAAGCTTGTTCGAGCTCGAGCACATTTACATTTTCGAGCTTAGACGAGTCGAGCTCGAGCTTGAGCTTTTAAACTATACAACGAGCCGAGCTCGATCATAATTTATGAAGCTCGACTTGAGCTCAAGCCGAGCTCGAGCTTCCCCCATCTTGACCTAGCCGAGCCTAAACATCTAAAAGCTCAGCTCGGCTCGTTTGCAGCCTTACATGAAAGTGCACCTAGTGGCCTAGTAGAGAATGAGGAAATAATCTCTCAAGCTCCTAGGGACAGTGGGAGCGATTTACCTGCCCATGGATTAGATCCAATGGATGAGGATTCTCAACTACGTAGAAGCAAACGTGGAGCTATACCCCATCATCATTTTGAGATTGAAGGAGAAGCATTCATGATTGCTCCGAGTGATGTGATGGAGCCTAAGAATCTCAAAGAGGCTCTCTTATCCCCTGCTAGTAAAGAATGGAGTGCTGCGATGGATGAAGAAATAGAGTCTATGAAGAAAAATCATGTTTGGGACTCGGTTGATTTGCCGCTAGGGCGCAAGACTATTGGGAACAAATGGGTTCTCAAAATCAAGTACAAGGCGGACGGTTCCATAGAAAGGTATAAGGCTCGCCTAGTAGCGAAAGGCTACACCCAATTAGAGGGTGTGGACTATGAGGAAACCTTTTTACCAATTGTGAGGTTTGCCTCTATTTGCCTAATTCTGGCCATAGTAGCTCAGTTGGACTTAGAGCTATATCAGATGGACGTTAAGACTGCATTTCTCAATGGAGAATTGGATGAAGAGATCTATATGGATCAACCAGAAGGCATTGTGGCAGTAGGTTAGGAGCGTAAAGTTTGCAAGCTTCAACGATCTATTTATGGCTTAAAGCAATCATCCAAACAGTGAAATCTGAGATTTCATCGAGCCATTGTTTCTAATGGGTTTACGATGATCGATGAATATCACTGTGTGTATGTTAAGCGGTCCAAGGACATTTTTATGATATTGTCAATATATGTGGATGGCATATTATTGGCTGGAAATGACAAGGAGATGATTGTCGCCACTAAAAAATGGTTGTTCTCTACATTTGAGATGAAAGATATGGATGAAGCAAGCTATGTGCTCGGTGTTAAGATCCTTAGGGATCGCTCTGGGAGACTTCTCGGTTTATCTCAAGAGACTTACATTAAGACTATCTTAGAGCAATTCCAGATGCAGAGCTGCAAACCTATTGACACTCCTGTTGCGAAAGGCGAGAGCCTAAGCCTTGATATGGGTCCTAAGACCCCAAAAGAGAAAGAAAAGATGGCTCGTGTATTCTACACGAATGCTGTTGGGAGCTTGATGTATGTTATGATGTGTACACGCCCTGACATTTGTTATGCAGTCGGATTGGTGAGTTGTTACCAATCTAACCCAGGACCAGCTCATTGGAAAGTAGTTAAGAGGATATTAAGATATCTTAGAGGGACTACAGACTACACACTCTGTTATCATAGTTTAGATCTACGTCTAGTTGGTTATTGTGCTACTGACTGATGAGGAGACTTAAATGAGCGTAAGTCCACTTCAGGATATGCTTTTGTGCTTAGTGATGGTGCTATTTCTTGGAGCAGTAAGAAGCAATCCTGTATCGCCTTATTGACTATGGAGGCTGAGTTTGTGGCTTGTTCATCTGCCGTTCAGGAAGCCGTTTGGTTGAGAAGATTCCTTCAGCATTTGGATATTGTCACACATACACTTCAGACCCTATGACTATCCATTGTGACAGCATGGCTGCATTCGCTTACGCTAAGGATCCTAAGTACCACTGGAGAACCAAACACATTGATGTGAGGTTCAACTTTATCAGAGACATTATGGCGCAGAAAGAAGTGATCCTGGAGCACATCCCTACAAGTCGCATGGTTGCGGACCCTTTGACTAAGTCCATTGCTAGAGATGTTTATCTTACTCATGTTAGGGCTTTAGAACTACGTAGGTGGTGATATATGTGTATTCAGTTGAACTCTTATTTTTTGGGGGGATATTTATGCCATTAGTATTCATATTTGTTTATATTACACATTTATGTTTACTACTTTTTGCAATGGTTTGTGAATTAGAACACACAAAATAAATAAATTTGATGTTAGCAGGCAAGATTGGCTCACTCACACGAGCAATCGCCTTTAGCGCTAGGTAGCGAGCAAGGATGAGACTATAGTGGCTTATTGTATTTGGAGCCAAGAGAGAGGCTAAAATTATCCACTAGCTATGTCGCCTTGGTTGGAGCCAAGATAAGGTCTTATTAAAGACCGACCATGGATATGAGAGTACCCACTTTTCCATGATGTGCTTATTATGGATAGCCAGATACGAGATCTCATTTGATGCCTAGGAGGCGAGCAAATAGAGAATTCGAGTTAGACGTTAGGAAGCGACTTGTGCGCTTAAAAGCGACTACACTAAGATCTGTATGGTGAGTGAATTTAACATCACTCTTTGGAACAGTTACTCCATTATAGCATGCATTCGTACTGCATGTGCTTACCATCCCATTAGCGAGGTGAGAGAATGGATCCATGCTTCCTCACTGTGTGAGTCCTAAAAGTCATTTTTTCCAATGACTTCATTTTGTGCCTTTTGTGACCTTTAACTATGTCATAAGATGAGGAGTTGATGTGCAGCTACTTTGATACGTTGCTTGCGGTCATATATGATTCGACTTTAAGGGACATTACTGGGAAAGTGGTCAATTCCGAGTTAAATGATATGAGGGTGAAGGGAAAATCATCTAGTTTTACATCTCTACTCTATATTCACTGTCGGCAACTCACATCGCTCTATATAGGATGTTGATTGGGTGTGAATATAATGTGGGACCTAGGAGGGTCAAACATGCTCTTTGAGGGATTACAGATGTTTTGGGCTGATGAAACTAGATGCGTCTAGGTACATGAGAAACTGCTTTTATTCTTTTTGGGTTGATGTGTCTATGCTGGCTCATATTGAGTTTCTAGTATAGAGCTCTCACATACAGGTGTTCTCAGCGGTTGCATGGTTCATTGGCTAGTATGAGATCGTTAAATATTTGGGGAGATTGAGATAGAGATGTGGCAGTGTCACGCCAATTCATGTGCGAGTGAGAGATGTTGGAAATTGGGCCGAATATTGGAGCCGGATTTGGGCGCCCATGTGGCATGACCTTTGACCCATATCAGATCATCTAGTAATTTGAATTTGAATTTAAATTATTTTCTATCTAGATAACCCACTATCTATTATCTACATCTATCGTATCTTATCAAGAGATATGGATAGATAAATATAATCAGCCTATATATCAGATACGTTATATATGGGATGTGGGATGATTAGAATCATGAATGATTTGTTTTTCCCATACTCTGTCTAACTCTCTCCTATCTGTAAAACGATCAAGCCTTTGCACTGTGACTAGTGTGGGTGATACTCATATTGCAGTATCTCTCTATTGCTGGGTGTTCATAATTCGTGGTTGTCAAACACGTGATTTACCTATAAGATTCTTCGTTTCGAATTCTTTGACACAAGATATGGTTTGAATCCTTTTATTCGCCGCGTTATCCATATCTCACAGTAACCAAACTCACCACTCTTATTTCCTTACTACTATTACTATTAGGAATCATTTTAATTCTGCCCCTGCTCATCATCTCTACCATGTTGTCATTTCACTTCACTTCTATTCTCTTCTTAAATATATATATATATATAATGAAAATTTGTTTTTGTTTTTGTTTAATCCTTCCTAGCTCGCTAGGCAAGTAACTGTAATAAGAAAAAAAGATTCTACTCAAAGGTGCGAGTTGTTCTAAGGCAGAGGAGCTACAGGATTGCTCTGCCTAATTAGAGGTAGAGAAGGCTTCTTAATTAGTACCAAATCAACCCCCATCATCACCTCTATATTTATACATGAAGAAATTCGCTGGCAGCTAGGGAGGGACAAAATCACATCCATTTCCTAAACATTCTCCAGCTCACTCATCCTTCTCTGTCTCCTTCCAATTCGCTCTTCCTTTCATCTCTCTCTCTCTCTCTCTCTCTCTCATCTAAGCTATACCAAAATTAAAAAATATGACTTTCAATTATTAAAAAATGAATTTTAAAGTCTCAAATAATGTACTATATATTACTTCAAATTAAGTGTCCTCAAATATGTAATCATTATGTACAAGGATGACATACATCTATTATTTGTGGTATTTTCAAAATTCCTTTTTGTTTGTGCAGATTTGGCCGCCTTCTGAGTGCTAGGGTTATTTTATTCGTTAAAAATGAAAAAAAGAAAAAGAAAAAAAGTGTTACATATTTATCTAGCAGAAGCCGAAGAATGGATTATGGGCAAGCTACCAATTGATAAATTATGAGAGTCAAATGACTCCTAGACATTCCTATTTATTGTTAGCAACTGTGAAAATCATCATTCTTATTTCATCGAACAAAATACAATACCGTTAGTGATCACATATCATGTCATGCTTTGAAAGATTACCACGCTTAACACATGATTTCTTTGATTTACTCAACTTGTGAACCCAACATTCGGTATCTTCTTCCCGTCTTATCACACAATCTCGCTTAAGCTGCTTCTGACGGTGGATATGAACTTGGAGCGCTGCTAACTGCATGACGCCTTCCAGAATTAGTGCTAGCTCGATGAAAATTAGCTGGGTCTCGTTTAACATCCTGGCATCCCACAAAACGCAATTAGATTAAAAGAAAAACTCAGCTCTTCAACAACAACAACAACAAAAAAGAAAAAAAGAAAAAAGAAAAAGAAAAAGAGGATATAATTCGAGTTTATACAATCTAATACACCTAAATGGCAAGCGAATGCATTGTTTATTTTTTGTCTAAGGGAGATTTGTTAATCTTGATGAAGCCATATTCATAAACTTTTTCTTACCAGAAGATTGACATTGGCCGTACGTCTCTTACATATATTGGAAATCAAGCAAGCTATTTGTTAATGTAATAAAACCAACTGCATGCTTATATCATTAATATATATTTAATAGGTAGTGCTTCTCCATCAGATGATTTATTGTAGTGCTTTAGGTAGTGCCTTCAACTTTCGGCTAGTGCCTTCAACTTTCGGCTACTTTGTATTTTTATATGTTTGCTTTCATAATGTAGTATCATAATGATGTTGTATTAGCTCTCCTATATAATGGAGCCTTCTCTTCATGTTTAATATACAATTGAATCACAGAGTGTATTAGCTCTTTCAATCACTCTCTCTCTCAATATTTATTTCAACATATATACTTTGCAGGTCATGGAGTTATTGGGCTTGTACGTGTGAATGACTCAGGGTACTCTTTTCACTAAAAAAAAAAAAGACTTAGGGTACTCTAGTGGAGTTTGACGTCTAATGACTAACATGCGTAAAGAAATTTTCACTCTATTGGGGTCAGGATTTATGTGCGTTTCATAAATAGGAGACTCGTGGATATTTCAGCATGCGAGATAAAGAGGACTCGTTTGTAGAGCTGTGAGGCAGAGGCAAAAAAAAAAAAAAAAAGAAGAAAGAAAGTGAAACAATAAGGATAATAAAAGAAAGAAAATAAAAAGGATTAGGGAAATGGTATAGCTTTAGGGATTGGGGCATCAGCAGCAAGCAAGGAAGCAGAGACGGATCCAAGGCTCAATTATCTTTGAGCTGCAAAATGAATTGCTTCGGGGCTCAGTATTGGTATCGAATACGGGTGTTATTGTGTATACTCTTGCAGAAACATGTGTGCACGTCGGCATTTTGTTTGTCCTCTCCTTTCTGTATAAGGATACAGAGAGAAGAAAATAAAAAGGAGAAATAAGGGATTAAGTTGATCTTTGAGTGAAAAGGGAAGACAGTGCAAACATGGTGTACAAGTTCCAACCCCTCACGTATGTAGATGCGAACAAATGTGATTTCAGTGATCGTAGCAGTGTTTAGTTCTAAATGCCACTGCCACACATTTTTAGATGAGATTTCTACACAAAAAAATTTGTTTACATAACATTTTCGATTTTAATATAATTAATTTGGATGACAAAATCAAATGAACCAAATTATCAACAATATATTGAGAAATAATAAAGAAATTAACGAAAAATTTCCTGGAAATAAAAAATTATAAAATATTCAAGGATAAATTTTACAAACATCTTTATGCTTTTTGACAATTATAGAAACCTCTTTGATTTCAAAAACTATATTCCAATTTATAATATGCAAAGATGTCCCTTCACCATCGATGTAAGTTCCTAGAAAATTCAAATACCTATCTAGCCCTTTTATAATCAAATGTAATAAAAATAAGTTCCAAATATTTTGCTGCTTGTAATAAAGCCATAGCACAAAACACATTATTCAATGAAGTGCAAGTCCAACCACACCAAATCAAACAACCAAATGCTGGAATCTATTTGTTCTGGAATTGTAATTTTATACAAGGGAAAAAGAGTACAAGTATATTATCTGTCAATTGTAGTTAACTGAAAATTCTAACACAAGGGATCAAAGGAATTTCTACAATAACTGGACAAATTCTTATAATTGTCTAAACCTCATGGGAGGTTAGTATAATCTAGCCAATATTCAAATACGTGGAAACAACTTCACTAACCGACAAAACTATAGAATATAAAAACTGAAATATATAATATGACCTAATGGCCGATATATAAAAAAATAAAGAACTAACAAAATATTCAAATAATGAAAACCATTGTTTAATAGTGGAAATCTTGTTCCTCACTGTGAAAGAATTCGAAAATATCTAGTGACATGAGAGAATCCAGGGAGACTATGAAGCCATATAAAGAGATCCTATATCTGTAGCTTTATGCAATGGTGAAAGTGTAACATTGCCTTAGCTTATATATAGAATTCGAAAATGGACTACATAGATGTATATTTTATATTTATTTCTGCTACAATATAGATGAATTCAAAAGCCCTTTATTCATTAATTGATTTTATTTTTATTGTTTAAACAAAGGCATTCAAACAATGGAATCAATAATCGTAGTCACTTCCAAAGAAGAAGAAGGCCTAGTGCCAAAAAATTATCCCAAGCACGTGATGGCCTAGAATGTCCCTTTTTTGTGGGAAATACATTAGTATACTCTGCAGCAGGAATGCCATTTCCAATTATGAGATGAGGACAAGCCTATTTTTAAACCGGATGACTGTAAATGGGAGATCAAAGAAGGAGATTCAAATAAACATGCATACATGAATATGCAAATATATACGAGGCAGTGAAGCACACATACCATATGCTTGAGGGCCGTATCCAATGAACTCTTGGACATCATCGTCCTTCCAAAGCCAGAGCTCTCATTGATTGAACCATGAAATTTTAGCTTTGTTTCTCTTTCTTCTGCGATTGACTTTCTAGCATTCATGAACTTGTCCACCATCCGACTGCCCAAAATTTGCGTTCCATTTCCTGCCAGCTGTATTCTCCCTTTTTGTGAGATCGTAGTAGCAGTCTCAGTAATAGTAGTAGCAGTAGCAGTAGTAATAGCACCAGTAGTACTAGTATTCTCTGGCTTTGGTTCCACCTTGGGACCCCTAGTCACACTTGGTGAGCATGACTGCCTCCTTGTCTTGGGGACGGGTTCAGTTTTTTGGTAAATATTTGCAAGTGTTTGATTTTCATATCGACCCCGTGAGGCAGACAAAGACCTCTCTGTCCTTAGATTGGGAGGTGCTTGATCAGAAAATACTGGAATTTGAGCAGGAACGGATGATCTCACCAGAGGCGACAGTCTACTTCTTGGTTTCATTTTGGAATCTGATGGTCCCAACATGCTCTTTGAGAGGTTTGAAGCAAGGAAGTTCTGTGGGCTTTCTCTCTGCTGGTTCATTGGTTTTGTAGCTGTAGTTGAAGCCACATTTGCTCTTCTGCTGTTGTGATTGGCGTTGCTCAATTGGTTCAGTTTTTGGTTGGACGGCAATTGTTTGCATTTTGTGGCTTGAGTCAAAACACTTGACCTCTCGCTGGGGGTTACAGATCTCGGTGGGCCTTTTTGTTTTGTATTCGGAGACTTGCATATCCCACTGCTTTGTTTAGTCGTCACTGAATTGCCTGAAAACTGGGACATTGCAGAACTCTGTCAATCAACATAGCAACCATACGTTTGAAAAGTGCAACTTTTACAAAGCTTGAAAAAAAATAAAGTGAAAGAAAATGGAGTGAAATACAGGAAAATTTATTTTCTAGTCTATAGTTGGTTTAAATGATTTTTTTTTTCCCCCGAGGAAGTTATATCAGTTATTTGGTTTAAAAAAATTATTCTCTTAAAGTAGCTAGCTAACTGAGTTAGCTATTTTAAGAGAAAATATTATATATATATATATATATTTTAAAAACTGAAAGTTAAGTTATTATGCTAATTTGGTTTAAAAAAATTATTTTCTCTTAAAGTAGCTAGCTAACTGAGTTAGCTATTTTAAGAGAAAATATTATATATATATATATATATTTTAAAAACTGAAAGTTAAGTTATTATGCTAATATGACTTGTGAAAGAAGTTCAACTTTATTTTGTTTTCCATACCATACTCTTGCTAAACAAATGAAAATAATTAATTTACTCTATTTTGCATTTTCTACCATTTTCATCCTAACCACAAACTAAGCCTACCACACGGGCAACTTTTTTGCTGAGCAAATGAGCAAGATATGTCAATAAACTCAAGCTAATGCTAGAAAACTAAAAGAATCTATATGACAGGTAGTTGAGAATATAGATATAGATATATACACACACACACACGTAATACCCGAGAAAAAGGCTGGATAATTGGAATCTCCCGTTGAACAAAGAGTTGGGGGGAATTTGCTTCCATCTCCAAAGAGGGAAATAGAGGCGTTGCCGGTGGAGTTTTCAACCTTTCACAATCAGTAAATGTAACAAATAATTAAAAGTTGATTTTGGTTTTCAGAAACAGAAAGGTAAAAAACTGTACATGGGAAACATTGTAAGCACCAGTAGTAGTACCACTACCACTACCTAAGAGGGAGGGAGGGAGGCGGATAAATCAAAATGAATTAAATTAACAAATTAATTACCAGTCGTAATCATTTTTTCCGCTCTGATCAGCAAGAAATTCATATCCTCCTCCTCCTCCTGACCCTTTCTTTACAGATGCCATTCTGTAAAGCGGATAATTCCCTGTAGATGATATAGTGTGGTTCAAACAGCTTCATTAATTATCGAGCAAAAAAAAACAAAAAACAAAACAAAAACAAATAGCTTAATTATTAATTATTTGAACTCGAACAGATTTGTAAGCCTAACAAGTAGTAACCAACCAAACCATAGCGAACAGGATGGAGTGCCTGTTAAAGAATAAGAATAAGAATGTCCAAGAATAATTGGTAAATAAATGTACATGAATGAATTGAAGAAAGAAGATGAATGAATGAATGATAAGATGAAGAGGCAGAGGCAGAGGCCTCACCATTTGCCTCAAACTCATCAGAAACAGGTTGAAGGAGGCTGACGGTACGATCTTTTTCCTGTTTATGCATCTCTCGGAATAGAAGAAGAACTTCTTCTTCATCTCTTCTGTCTTTCCGACCGTTATTAGGTAGCGTCCCAAAGATTTTCTTTCTTCCATTATTCCCACTGCCACCACCGCCGCCACCACCTTGGTTCATTATTAATTGTGCCTGCTGTTGTCTTCTATGTCTTTCTCGATCTCTTCTTAATTTGGTTTCTATTTATATTTATTTATACGTCTCCGTTCCGATATAGTTATTAGTTACTATACTGGTGGTGGGATTACGGGCGGGAAAATGACTTAGGTTTAGCAATTTGGGGAAGAAGAGATAAATAATGCTAACTTCATTCACACCACACCTGTGATAATAATAATCACAATCATATACGAAAATGACCGGAGAAACCAATGAAAGAAACTAGTGTGCCCTGCCATCCATGTGTAGATAATTAAATACTACTGATATTGATGGCCGGCTTTCTGACCTGATCAAAGGCCTAAGCTAACAAAGCCAACCAAGAGAGACAACCAAACAAAAATTCCCCATGTAGAGAGAGAGAGAGAGAGAGAGAGAGAGAGAGAGAGAGAGGTAAAAGGGTTGGAGCATCGATACAATTCCCTGATTCCTGTAATCGGTCGAAGACGTAACATTTGGCAAACCGACCTTTCTTTTATTTTATATGATATGTAACTAACGCAAGGGACAGTTTAGACACAAAAACACGAGCCTATTGGAGCGCCTGCTGTTCCGTTTTGTTGGGCCGTCTAGGGAATGGGAGAGATTCTATTTGTGCCCAAAAAAAAAAAAAATCATTACGTACATTAAATTTTTTAATGCATCTTCTTAAATTATTTAAAATTATAATATACCCTTTGAGTTATTTTGAAAAGTAAGTTAAAAAGTTAATTTTTTTGATTTTTTTTTAGCTTTTCTTATTATAAAAAAATGTGTAAAAAAATAAAAAAGTAATGTGATTTAAAAGAGGTTAAAAGTCAAAAATCTGATTTTTAACCTTTTGAGAGGGTAATTTTTGGGAAAAATTAGGCCGAGCTTCGAGTTGGGCTTTAAGGCCCAAAACACGAAGGATTAAGTAAAAAGGCCGTAATGGATACTTCGGCCTAGGGGGCAAGGTTACTCCGAAAGGAAAAATTATTTATAAGTCTTATTAGAGAGACTTATGCTATATATGGTCCTATTAAAAAATTTATGTTCTCATAAGTCCTGTGAGAAGTTTGTTGACACATTTACCCTCAATATTAGTTGTTAATATCATAAATAATAGTAAAATCATATATAGAAAATTAAATGTTACCATAGATCATATCTATATAAACGTAACGTAACGTGACACCTACATAAACGTAACGTGACACTTACATAAACGTAACGTGACACCTATGATCTATGGTATGGAAATTGAATGTTACCATAGATCATATCTACATAACGTAACGTAACGTGATACTTACATAAACGTAATGTGACACCTATGATCTATGGCAACATTCAATTTCCTATATATCATATTTATATGAAACGTAACGTGATATCAACATAAACTAACAACATTTTCACATTCAATTTAAAAAAATAAAAACTCATTAAGTTTGCGAAACGCAACGTGACACGTTACATTACCTTCACGTTACGTTTATGTAGGTGTCACGTTACGTAACGTAACGTGACACGTATGATCTATGACAACATTTAATTTCCTAATATTGTCATATATCATATTTATATGAAACGTAACGTGACACCAACATAAACCAGCAACATTTTCACATTCAATTTGAAAAAATAAAAACTCATTAAGTTTGCGAAACGTAACGTGACACGTTACGTTACTTTCACGTTACGTTTATGTAGGTGTCACGTTATGTTACGTTTATGTAGATGCCACGTTACGTTTATGTTAGTATCACGTTACGTATATGTGTCATGTTACGTTTATATAAGTGTCACTTTATGTTACGTTACGTTTATGTATGTGTCACGTCACGTTACGTTACGTTTATGTATGTGTCACGTCACGTTACGTTTATGTAGGATCTTGTGGAATACATTCTTATCTAAATAGGACTTGAGACTCTATAAGAAATTACACAAAATTTAACCTAGCATAAGTGTCTAAAAAAAGACTTATAAATAAGTCTCTCTTTAAAAAATCATTAAATAGATTTCTCATTACATCTATCCTTTCTATTCACATATAGGTTTCTCAGTATCAATTAAATTCATCACCATTAACTATACATAATTTGATATTTATTGTTCTATGATGTTTCAATTGAAATTTTCCAAAAAAAAGAAGAAAAAAAATTGTTGTGTATTAGTATATATAAAAATTCTATGACGCGCTAGTTGATGCTTTGAGGGTAGTGTTAGAGTTGAGCAAAAAAATTTGAATTTGGGTATGTTTATAGAAAAAATTATTTCAGTAATTTGGGTATTCTCTCTCTCTCTCTAATGAATATGATGATTATTGTCATCGCCTTTAGTCTTACAAGCATCTCTAGTCGCTTGATGATAATCGACACTTCAGTCTTATTTCATTCTCATTCCATCTTCTCCAATTTTCCTCAAATTTGGTTTTCACCTTTTTTTTTTTTTTTCCTCATACTCCTTTATGTATAGGAGTACAATTAATCACAAACAATTAATAAAATAGATTTAGCCTTATTTCTTGATATTAATTATTTTCTGTGTTTGAATTTACTTGATGATCGTTTAAATGAAGATAAAAAGATGAAATAATAATTTTTTGATGATTATGTTCATAATTTTGAAGATGAGAGTTGGATATGAATAATACGTATAAGTACTTTTAGTGTATCATGAGAAAAAAATAATATTTTATTTTAAGATTTAATGTATATTGTCTTTATTAATAAATTTATATTAGGATATAATAAGAACTAAACTTTCAAAATTTTAATTGGGCGTACTAAGTTGTTATTTGGATGCAAATAGAATCACCCAGGGAATGGGGTTCTTGGCACAGAAGGCTGCTATGAGGCCCGTTGAGGGCTTATCTAGAGTCTTTTTCGATAATCCAAATTGTTCATATTATAAAGTCCGTCGAATAAATCATCCATGCAAAAAATTAAATAAATTTGACATATGCAACTCCATAATAAGAGCACATTTGTTTTTAAAAAAATAAATGGTTAATACGATTTTAATAATTTTTGAGTAAATTGCAAATACACCATTGAAATTTGCTTAAAATACAAATTGTCTCATGTGATTTAAAAAATTACAAACACTCTATTGTCATAATTTTTTATTTAACATAATTAATTAAAAAAATAAAATTTCTAACTACTCTCCTATATAATAATAAAATTACTTAAATTATTAATTGAAATAAAATTTTGATATCATTAAAAAATTTTAATTGACTTGATTATTTATTAATAAAAGGGTCAATTATTACGAAATTTGAAACATCAAAGAGCGGGATGTAATTTCCAAAATCACATGGAGCAATTCATATTTTAAGCTAACTTCAGGAGTGTATTTATAATTTATCTATAATTTTTTAAAGGATAAATTACACTGACATCCCCTCTATTCTCTTGAAATAACATTGTCACCCCTTTATTCTTTAAAATATCATTAACTTCCCTTACTTTAGAATTTTATGTAACATATGCACCCATGTCAATTGTGAGTTGACTCAACAAACTTTGTTGATTTCATTGGTTTAATATTTTAAAATGTCAAAAATTTGATCTTATTAATTTTCTTCCCAAGATTAGAGTTGACCCATCTGTTATTGATTTTGTTCTTACATACAAATCATAATAGTTGTTTGTGTCCACCCTTGCGTTTTCAATTAGAATACTTCCATGTGCCCATCAAATTGCGTCCACCCATTGATTGGTTGGGTAGTTTTCTTCCCAAGATTAGACTGCCCCCCATAACCAAACGTTCTTATTTTAGTAATGTTCTTATTTCCAAACACCATCTATTTTTCTTATTACCTCCGTCTATAAACAATAACAAACACTCACGGTGCAGTTTCTCTCTTTCCCTCATATCTCTTCTTCTTTGTTGATACAAGTTTATCTTACAATGAGAATAACATATATACAAATTGTAAAACAAGTATTAACACAGCGGGTAAAAAATTCAGATCATACCATAGGTGATAGAAACGAAGAATCTTGTGCATAAATCACGTGCTTTCACAAATGCAAACAACGAACTCCCAGCAGTGGAATGATACCACAATATGAGTATCACCCACACAAATGATACCACAATATGAGTATCACCCACACAAGTCACAGTGCAGAGGTTGGATTGTTTCCATATGCAGAGAGAGTTAGAGAGAGAAAGTCTGCAGAAAAATTTATGGGTAAAAACCCATAACGTATCTGATATCCATATATTAGATAAATAAATAATCAGATATATAACCATATATGTCAAGCTATCCATATCAGTTGATATGATAGATATAGATATCATGAGTGGTTATCCAAATAAGTTTTGAATTCAAATTTAAACTTACATGGATAAGGTTCAAAAGGTTCATTGGTCATGCCACATGGGCGCCGAATTTCTAACATCTCCCACTCGCACATGAGTTGGCATGGCACAGCCACATCTCTATCTCAATCTCCCCAAATATTAAACAATCACATACTAGCCAATGAACCGTGCGACCGTTGAGAAACACCTGCATGTGGGAGCTCTATACTAGAAACTCAAAATGACCATCAACCCAAAAAATAGAAATAATGTCTCATATATCCCAGACCAATCTAATTACAATGGTCCAAAAAAAAAAAAAAAAAAAAACTCTAATCCCTTAAAAAGAACATGTTTGACCCTCTCAATTCTTGTAATATATTCACACTCAATCCGCCTCTTATACAGAGCGATGTGAGTTGCTGGCAATGAATATACAACAGTGGTGTAATACTAGATGATCTTCCCTTTGCCCTCATGCCTTTTAGTTTAGGATTGACCGCTTTTCCAGTGATGTCCCTTAAGGCCAAATCATACATGACCGCATGCAACGTACCAAAGTAGTAGAACATCAACCTCTTACCTTATGACATAGTCAAAAGTCACAAAAGGGTACATAAATAAAAGTCATATCAATAATGACACGTAAGACTCACACGGTGAGGAAACAGGGATCCATTCTCTCACCTCATTACTCGGTCGCCAAGCACATATAGTATGAATACATGTTACGGTGGAGTAACTCTTCCAAAAGAGTGACGTCATATTCGATACACTGTATAGATCTTAGTCTAGTCGCTTTCTAGCGCCTAACCCGAATTCTCTATTTGCTTGCCTTCCAGGCGCCAAATGAGATCTTGTATCTGGCTAATCATAACAGGCACAACATGAAAAGTGGGTACTAACATCCATGTTTGGTCCTTAACATGACCTCATCTTGGTTGTAACCAAAGCAACATAAATAGTGGATAATTTAAGCCTTTCTTGGCTCTAAATAAAAATAAACCACTAGTCTTATCCTTGCTCGCTCCTAAGCACCAAGGGCGATTGCTCATGTGAGTGAGCCAATCTTGCCCACTGACATCATCATCTGC